ATACGGAGGAGAAAGAAAATTATGAGGAATAGAGACCGTGATACAAGTAGAGGTTGTACCAATTTCTTTTGAACACACAATTTTGCTTTTTCCAGATGCATAGTCATTGCTTCGATAGTCTTAAGAGATAAATGATAACTGCCTTTTTAGCCTCCTATTTACCTTGTAGATGACTTTGAACATAGAGTTTATCTTGACTGAGTTATTTGTCTTCACAAGATATTCGATTATTCAGCTTCTTCTTGAGTCATATGCACCTGTTTCTAGTTAAGCCGGTTAATGTTCTTGAATTCTTTTGAATCAAGTATACATCAAATAACCTACAAACTTGACTCCACATGAACAGGTAAAATTGATAAATACAAATGGATTTGGTCAAATGAATTAATTTATCCTTAAGAATATTGATGAACTGTAAATCTAAAGGTTTACATACAGTACATTTCTTAGACCTTAAGAGTATTGGTATGATTATTATGTAATATACACCTAATACAATTTTGAAGTTTACTAACTGATATTTAAACATGTAAAGTTAGGTTAATGGTTGAATAACTTAATTATTACCTTTATTGATAAATGTTAAATATATAGTCCAAATATACCAAGTTCACAATGGAACACATATTTTAGCCAAAAAGTAATATTGATAAAATGGAATATCTTGTATACATATGGTTTACTTGTCCGTTACTTAATTATGTCTGTTACCCCAAGTGGAGGAGCATAGGCCAACCACTAACATTCTTCATACAACTTTATCCTTGACAATTCTATACAGACGTTTCCGGTTCTTATTCATTCTTCTGGTGTCTGATTTCCATTCCTAATGCAGTGTGCACATTTCCCTTTACTTCCAGAATACCAAGTTAGCACTTACTTCGTGATTCAGTTCGGTGATTTACATAATGTATGTCTTATCCACCTCGATCTTCTTTTCTTAATTTCCCCCTCAGATGGTAGCTGGTTTGTTCTCTCTCACAGTAGGCTGTTATTGATGGTAATTGGTCAACGGACATTGAGTACGTTGCGTGGACAATTGTTTATAAATTTTTGTACATTTTTAATGATGGATATGGTAGTTCTCAAGGTTTCAGATGCGTACAGTAGAACTAACTGTTTTGACGTTCACATTGAAGATTCTCATTTTGATGTTGGTTTGCAGAACCTTATTTTGAGTTCCATATGTTCATCATGTGTATGAATGCTGAACTTACCTTGCTAATCCCCACTTTTACACTTGCATGAGATACTACACATTAATCGACGATGTTGTGCAAGTAGGTGAAAGTGTCCACCTCTTTCAGAGTTTCTGCATCAAGTGTGATTGGGTTGGTGTTCTGAATGTTGTATTTGAGGATGTTGGTTTTTCGTTTCTGTATGTTGGTGCATACTGATGTAAAGGTTACCGCTACACTGATTGTCTTGACTTGTTATCTATATAATAGAAGAACTATGTCATCCGTGAAAACCAAATCGTCTATCTACATCCAAGCTGTTCATTGTATTCTGTGCTTACCCTGAAATGTGGCCTGTATCTCTTCTAGGATGACTGTCGTTCCCAAGTCTGGGTAAAGGAGGAGGGCTAAGCATCGGGTCAGCAACCCCATCCCGTAGAAAAAACCCTTCTAAAAAACGTTAACCAGAACAATCATTTTAAAATTCTTCATAAGATCATAGGAATAATCATTGGCTTTATGTACTTGAGATTGACTGCAGTTGAAGCTTCTGAATTCAGGGATTCAGTTTGAAATTCTAGTAAATGAAATGAAACACGACAACTAAATGAAAATGATTGATAAATGTAAACTTTCTAGAAAGAACAAACTATATATATTCATTTCAGGCTTTGAAACAAGATACATGGAGTTGTATTGCTCCCTTAATGGCTCGTTAAGTAAATAGTTGAGTTAACTTCATGAATGTTTAAATGACTGCAGTATTGATGATCAAATACCAAAGAGATATAACAAGAATCAAATCGACATCTCAGTTTGTAATAATCTACATTCAGTCAAAAGAGATGTTGTAAATTATGGAACTTTCAAGGAATAAAGACATGGATACTTGTTATCTTTTTTTTCAATTCAAATAAGTCATTTTCTGTTGATAATCTTAAGAAGACATAAGTCCCAAGATTACAGAATAGTGAAATTTTATACATAAACTAATCCTTAGTAAATCCTGTATTCCTTCATATGATTTATATTTATTCTGTTTATTGACTTCAGAAGAAACAATCAATAAGAAATGAAACCTCTTATATGAATATAACTTCTAGGGTCTATATAAAATCAATCAACGAACCTTTAGATCTGACTGCCAGTTAAAATTCAACTCTAATTGAAAAGAATACTCTGTATATTCAGAATATATTCAGGTTGTAAATTTTCAAATTCATGATCTACGAAAAATTGAACATTTCTAGTTTGCACTAAAATAATGCCTCGATATAGTCTTAATTGCAATAGAAAGTGTCTATCAGGACTCAGTAGTTAAGTGGATAACATGTTGGGGTTTGAAGTGAAAAGTACTTGGTTCGAGTCCCAGAGTGAACATCAACTCTGAGATGCAGATACATACAGCTGACGAGTCTCAAATAGGACGAAACATGCGCCAAACTGTATTCTATTGCTAGCCACTATCCATCTTTGCTTATAATGACTGGTCGGTTGACCAATTACTTTGATCATAATTACAAATAATTACTGTCATCTGCAAATAATCTATTTCTATACTGTTATGACCATATGTTTTACACTTATCAAGCCATTTATTAACTATCACCACAAGTTTTAGACAAATAACATTTATTTCTGTGTGTGTAACTGCATAACAAAAAAATTATGGAAACATTAGACGAACTTAAATATCATGTTAATTGTTTCAACATGTTGGTAATATAAACACGTTCATTCGGTAAAGTGACATTTAACGCTATTTCATAGGTAACATCATTTACTGCTCTTAGTTAAACAACTACTGAAAATTGAGAAGGATTGAACAGTTGCTTTGCTTTAGTATCCGACGTTTTTTTTAATCATTTTACAACCCCAGTAGTATGAGTAATCGAACCATGACCTTTAGTCTTGCACACAGAGGATACGTCTTAAGACCACAGAGATGATACCCAGTGATATATTTGCCTAATGTCTTACAGCCATATTCCAATGTACTTGAAGGGTGATTGCCTCAAGCTGGACGTAGTTACAAGGTTATGGATATTCAGTGCTGAGAAGCCTCATACTAGTGCAAAGCGGCAATCCAATGCTTCCTGGTTTTCAATGGTTTTTTTGAACTATCATCAGTCCTTAATTTTGATCATGAAAAAGTCTTCATAAACTCAATTAGTAAACAATTTTTTTTCATATAACCCTAAGCATATTGTTATTTAGATAATTTCTTTAGAAACAGGTTTATTCATTTTTACTGATACTTCTAGTTTACGAATAACAGACCATAACTTGTTACTCTATGTCATAGATGAAAAATTAAAAAAATCGGTTTTCTGATGACATGCTCGTTCAACATTACATTACTGAATAACTACATAAAGCGTAATTACATGATTACCGTGGTTAGTGTTCGTGTTCTAATCAACATATAGTGCTAACAGTCTTGAATGATTTCATTGATATGAATAGACCATCAAACAGATTTTATGATAATGTAACTAATAGTCTACATAAAATTGTGTAAATTGGTATAATTTCATTTGTAAATATCTGCAAAGAAAATATGATAATTAGTTCATATACTTAAGATTATGGAACGAACCGGGAAGGACTGGATGGCCGTTTTGTCCACTCTGGGACTCGAACCCAGTACCTTTCGCTTCAAACGTCACTAAGCCACTGAGTCCAGCTGACGAGTCCCAAACAGGACGAAACGCGCGTCAAACTGGATTCCACTGCTAGTCACTATCCATATTTGCCTACAATGCTTGTGAATCAAGGCTATATCGAGGCAATACGCACAGTATGCACAATTAGAGACTGACTAGTTGCAGTCCTAACAAATCGATGGGAAGATCCAAACAAACAATACTAAGTGAATTCAATTTTTTTCCACATTGAAAAACAAAAAGAGAAACTAATCTTAAAACTAATCCTTTTAAAAATGAAATCATGAATCAATTGAAGCTAGACGACCATGGAAAACTTAAAAGCATTGGTTTGACGTTTCGTCCTATTGTAGGACTCCCCCTTTTGATAATCCTTTTTAACTTTATTTTGATCAAAATGTAATCGTTGCTTATGTTCAAAAGTTTTTAATTTGTTTTTCAATTTAAAAAATATATATTGATTTAATTATTAAAGTGAATTGAAATAGAAATTTCCTGAATATATTGAAAATAGTCAGTTTCATGTCAGGGCATTGAAAAGTGAACAATATTTTTTTTGAAATATTGCAAATTATACTGAGAAATCGGTTTTTTATAAATAGACTTGCTGGAATTTCAGATTCCGGTTCAGTGGTCTATAGGTTAAGTACTCTAGCGCGAGACCGGTAGGTCCTGAGTTGGAATCTCGCTAGGCGGAATCGTGAATGAGCACTGCTGAGAAGTATCATAATAGGACGAATAGGCCGTGCAGTGCTTTCAGGTTTTTTTCCAGGTTATCTAGCTTTAATTAACTCATGATTTCAACTATCTAATTTCATTCATTTGATATAGAATTGAGTTTTATGGAAGAAATAATAAAAAGAAAGTGATATAAGTTATTGAATGAATTAGATGTATATTGAAACTGAAGCTCCTGGATTTATATCGTGGGTACGGGATTGTGGATATGTACTGTTGAGGAGTTCTATATTAAGAGAAATGGCCATGCAGTGCCTCTGGGTTTTTAATGATTGTCTAACATTGATTGATTTTTTATGTTAATCAAAACCACAACAATGTCAACAACTTCATATTGAAAATAAGAACGATTTAAATTATTGAATTTCAAAAAGAATGAATTTTCAATGAAATAAACTTGATGTGCATTGATATTTCAATGTCTTATCTGAAACAGTTATCATCATCATCATCATCATCATCATCATCATCAACATCATCATCATCATCATCATCATCATCATCATCATCATCATCATCATCATCATCATCATCATCATCATCATCATCATCATCATCATCATCATCATCATCATCATCATCATCATCATCATCATCATCATCATCATCATCATCATCATCATCATCATCATCATCATCATCATCATCATCATCATCATCATCATCATCATCATAATCTGAAATTCTGTTTCTCTAGTGTATTCTCAGGTACTATACTAGTTGAACACTGTTATGCATGTTATAGGTCACAGATTTTCTTCATCGTTAAATTAGACCTACTATTATTTTATTGAATAACGCTGTGATCTTGAAACCCGATAGAAATGTAATTTTATTATAAACATGTTGGACAAATACAAAATATCATAAGGTTTATTAAAGGCATTCAATCAAGTTGTTTTACTATACTGAACTTGAAGTGTACTTAGTAAGGATTTTATGGAATTGAACAAACCCGTCAACTTAAACATCGGTAGTAAGATACGAAAATTTCTGTAGAAAAAAACATTACAATCTGTGTTGTAAATTTGTTTATTTAACTTTTTTTTATAGTTGAAATCATGAGTTCATTGAAGCTAGACCACTATGGAAATTCCGGAAGCACTGAACGGCCGTTTCGTCCAATTATGAGACTCCTAAGCAGTGTGCATTCAATGGCAAATAGCTGATTACTTATCAGTTTTCTTAATAATAGTATCATTACTACGCTATTCATTTAGGTGGTTTGAACTCAATTATTGTGTAATATTCAAGTTGTTTGTCTTATGTACATTAATTGTAATATGATAAGATAAAAAAGCAAAATTACAATTTTAACTTTTGCTTTTAACATTTGCTTTATTTTATTCAGTATAACATTGATTTACTTTAGTGTGATGTAAACACTGAAGAGATGATATTCTTGTATTAAACCAAAGTGAATTATGTTCAGCATGACGTACATCGTACGATTTTCGCATGAATTTATATATGAGACATTATACTCATTATTGATCAAATCTGTGCTTATTCCTATTGTGGGACTCCTCAATCTACTAAGCTACTAAATTGAAATGATCACAAACTTATTCAGTAGATATGGTAACATAAGTAATAGTTTATAATTTCCTGTAGACATAATAACAATCTGAAACCTTTTGTTTTTCCAGTCATTCAAATCAAACACAAATAATAAGCTTATTATACATAACAAAAGCCTTATGTAACATAGAATGATTTGTGCGAAAATTCAATTGGTGATTAGTTCATAGGAAATGTGATTTAACTACGTATACCTTCCTTTTAAGTTTATAGATAGCTGAATGTTACCATAACTAGTAGAACACAAATGGGGACAATCAAATGTATTTCAATACAAAATTACAGAACATCTTAGTCAAACCGGTGATCCATACAGTGAATACTTCATTTGCAAAGTGTCAATCAAATGTCTCAGACTTCATTGTTCTTTTGTTTCCATATCAATCATTCTTTGTTGTCATTTTCTTATCCACGATCTTTTTAATTTTCTGCCACCAGGCATTTCACATTCGATTGACGATACATATTATTTATATCTTTCGACATCAGTAGCACACACCACAATCTGATATGCTAATATGCTTTAACATATTTTAGATGGTCACAATTTTGGGACGTTTTCTTTTTGTATATCTGGCATACAATGATAGGCTTTTCATTGTGGCAATTATAAGTACCGGTTATTTGATTGAAAGATATTTGAATCAAAATCGATTGTTTTTTCTTACCATGCCAGATTAATCCAGTTTCAAAGTATTTGGAAACCCTTATTCATTTCACTGTTTATAAATTTAGTTTTTAAAAAGCAATCAGTTTAATACATTTGAAAGAGCTGAACAGTATTTAATAAATTCAACATGTTTGTTAAACAACTAAATTGTATCTGTTACTATCTACGCTATGCTATGCTGACTAATATTGGGGATGGTTGGAAGAAAAATAGGGGCGGCCAAACCAAAACGTGGCATCAATGCTTGAAGTCATTAACTTCTATTCTAAGCCATGTTATTAGATGCAGACTATTGTAATCAATGGTTGAAAACTCTAGGTGACATGACTCAGAATCGATCACAATGGCGCAGGTGTATACACTCCTTATCTTCCCTTAAACCTTGAGATTAAAATTGCTTCATATCTGTCTTTCTTCCTGTACTATATCCTTATATGCAACCTTTCTTTTATATATTACCACTACTAAATTAACTACTTCTATGAATCCGGTGTTCACCTTGTTGTGCTAACCAGGTATGGCAACTTAGACCGATGCATTTATGTGCCTGGTCCTACGTTGTACCTAAGTGACTGACTGAATATGTCTTTCATTATTTAATTAGCTAAATTCAGTTAACATATGAATAGTTTTCATCACTAAAAGGGAGATCATTAAAAACCAGCTAGCAGATAATGTTATCATTGTTAGAAACCTGTTGAACTATGTATATTCAAGGAATAATTGTGTATGAATTTCAAAAGTTTTAAATAATCAGTAGTGATTTTGTTTAGATTTTCATTGTGAATAATCAAGATTACACTAGAAAAATTATGATACTTTTGTTTTAATGCAACAAACGTAAATAAGTAAGGGACTAGTTGTCTATTTCACTGTTAGACACAAACCATTTATTCAAAATAACTTGTAAGATAATGACTGTATTGATGCAATTCTTACAGAGGTCATATATGCCGACAAAGTGAAAAACATTCAATTGTCGATGATAACAGAAGGACTATTCAAACACTATTCATGGTAATATCCTGTTTTTTTATAATAATAACAATTACACACCAATAAATATGGTGATGATATACCGAAAATGAAATTTATACTTTTACATTATAGAGTGATTAAGGTTGTATGATTAATGGACACCAAGAAATAATACACATATAAATTCATTTAGTATTGTTTGTTTGAATCTTCCCATTGATGTGTTAGGACTGCAACTGATCAGTCTCTAATTGGCTTATGTGCATATTTTGCATATTGCCTCGGTATAGCCTTAATTCACAAGCATTGTAGGCAAATATGGATAGTGACTAGCAGTGGAATCCAGTTTGACGCGCGTTTCGTCCTGTTTGGGACTCGTCAGCTGGACTCAGTGGCTGAGTGGCGTTTGAAGCGAAAGGTACTGGGTTCGAGTCCCAGAGTGAACATCAACTCTGTGATGCAGGTACATCCTACTGACTAGTCCCAAAAAGGACGAAACGCGCGTCAAACTGGATTCCACTGCTAGTCACTATCCTTCTTTGCTTACCATACACGTTTAGTTTGTCTTTGGTATGGAACTCAAGCATTATTGATTAAAACTCAGAGATTCACCATTCGAGGATAGTGATCAGTAAGTATAGATTTATGTTTTGGTATAAGGGGTTAATTTTTGTAGCCTTTCATCACAGAATGCAAGGATCAATTATATTGGGTATGGAACATATATTTCAAGGACAATATATGGTAATCAAGAATTATCATAATTTAACTAAAATAAGAAAGTTGAAATCATGAGTCAATTGAAGCTAGACCACCATCGGTGTTAATGTCTAACTTCAACTGATCCACGATTTTGAGCAATCGTTTACAAACAGTGACCAGTGGAGTTCAACCACGTTCGTTGTTAGATATCAACTCACTGAAGAAAATTGGTGAATGGTTGCTCAACTTCGTGGATCAGTTGAAGTTAGACATTAACACCGTTGGATGCCAGCTCAGTGGTCTATCGATTAAGGGCTTCGGCTCGAAACTGGTAGGTCCTGGGTTCGAATCCCGCGAGAGTGGGTTCGTCGATGTGCACTGCTGAGGAGTCCCATAGTAGGACTAAACGGCCGTCCAGTGCTTCCAGGTTTTCGATGGTGGTCTAGCTTCAATTGACTCATGATTTCAACTTTGAAAAATACTGAAATCTCCACAAATCCCCTTCTAGAATAAATGTCAACAACTGGATATAATTTCAATGGTCTAAAATTTCAGATTGACGTCATGAAATATGAATGTCTTGAATTTAATACCTACTGAGTTTACAAATATTGGTTGCTGAGAGTTTGCATGCAACAAGGAAAAGAACACATTTATCGTATACAAGTTTTTGTACGTGACTTTAATGTATGCACTTTATGATCAGAAATTATAATAATTTAACAAGTGAACAGTGATTGAATTTAGAAGGGAGAAATATTGTGCTTTGTGCTACTCGTATGGATAGATATAAGTAGTGTGTATCGGGAATTTAAAAAAATACAATTCCTATGGATAAAATAATAAAATAAAAAGAAAGGATAACAGAAATCAATTTAAATAACAACAGCATTAGAAGGACAATGGAGCTGTAAGTGACAATTTAAGAAGAATGTGTAAATATTGTATTTAATATATTGTTTCCATAGTTTACAAACATAGTGTGTAATCTTGAATAAGACTTTGCATGCATCGGTTTACTACTCGAGACTCCGTTTACTACAGTATAAAAGTAGCTAAGTCTCTAGAATTAGTCAATAACAGATGGTATATATATTTGTATGTAACAGACATAAAAATGCAAGTACACAAACAAACTTTAACTTATCATTTCTACATGTTAGTTTCATACTTACTTACTTCCTTACTTACTTACGCCTGTTAACCCGAATGAAGCATAGGTCACTGACCAGCATTCTCCAAGCCACTCTGTCCTTCCTTTCTAGTTCTATCCAATTGTTATTCGTGCTTCTCATATATGTCTCCATTACTCAGCGTAATGTGCTCTTTGGTCTCCTCCTTTAGCCTTCCCGATTCCGTGTGAGGATGTGCCTTGTGACAGAGAAGTCCTATGCACTTCCAGTGATACTTCCTAATTTATTAGTCCTCTGAAATCTGATTTGTTCTCTAACACAGTAGATCGTCACTGACAGTGTCTGGTCAATGGATCCGAAGTAATTTGTGTAGACAACTGTTAATAAGCACCTGTATCTTCTGGATGATGACCTTCGTAATTCTCCAGGTTTCCGCCCCATACAGTAGAATGATCTTGACATTTGTATTGAAAATTCTGATCTTAGTGTTGGTTGACAATTGTTTTGAGTTCCAGATGTTCTTCAGTTGTAGATATGTTGCTCTTGCTTTGCTGATTCGTGCCTTTACACCTACATCAGATTCACCGTATTCATCGATGATGCTGACCAGAT